CGAGAGCAGACGTTTACGAAGATTAGACTCAGAGACTGATTATTATTTAAAGTTGGAGTAAAGAAGAAGAAGAGACAGAGAGAATAAAGAATGAAGTGACACTGAGGGGAGCAGCTGAGCAGCAGCGACTGGTGAGTAGCACTGGAAGATTTTAAAATGAGAAACTTCTGCATGAAACGAAAAGAGAGAATTCAAATTTGATTCAATCACAATAAAATGAAAAATGAAAGATCTGTGTTATTCCTGCAGCGGGCAGATAACGCAGCATGTCCTCACATCACGGCGAGAATCTTTTGTCCGTTAGTTCTGCAGACTGTTTGTGTGTTTGTTGCGTTTCCATGTCAACGTGGTGGCGTCCTGTGTGTTTGGCGCCTATATGGTATAAAATGAGTCATGGAGCGAGGCGATTTGTGCGTGTGGAACATTTTATGAGCAGGCTGCAATTTGGGTGCACCAAAACTATTAGGGCCTCTGGTCGGGAGCTGCATGTGACTTCCAGAAAGTTTGTGCAGGGACACGGTGCACGTGTGGAATCTGTTTCACCATCTGAACAATCAGGGAAGTGGAAAGTTTAGGATGCAGGACTTTTTATTTCCTTTATTTGTTTGTGTTTTCTCTACGTCTGCATTTTGAATTGTGATTTTTCACTTTTAAAAAATCCTCTTTCTGGTGGAAATAACTGGACAAACTTTAAGTGAACGTCTGATAAAATATTGACCTCACAGATACACTCCAGCGTCCACGTTAAATTCAGTTGTTCACAGATGGATTTCAGGTATTTGGATCATCCTGCGGGAGTCTTCTCGTTAGACGTCCTGCTGACAGGACGGTGAGCTGCAGCAGCAGGTTCAAATCCCAGCTGAGCCTGTCCTCATATCTTAATGCCTCCTTTTCCTTCTGTCTGTCTCCATGTGGCGTTCCCGTCGTCTCTCGGCCTCTCACGCCGCTTTTGTATTTTCCTCGTGTCTGATCCCTGAAACACTCGAGTCACATTCTACCTGGATTTCTGCTGTTTGAAGTTCACACGACTTCATCTGTGCAGCAGAAAAGGTTTTCTGACTCCGAGGGTTAAACAAAGAGGCAGATTCACTTTTATGACAGCGACTGATCCTCGTACGTGACGGACTGATGATTGGACAGATGCACAAAAAAAAACTCCACAGATCAACAGAGGCCAGAGATTTACCACGACGGCGTCCTGCTGATTTATGTCTGCAGTTTAATTTAGTTCTTGTTCATGGGCAGGGAGGAAAACCTGACCTCTGGGTTTTGAAATGATGTCACACTGAGAAAACAGTGGATAAAACCTGGAATATTAAAACTCCACGACGATGAAGTTTAATTGTCGAGGAATGTTGATCGTTAAACTTAAAGTTTCCAACAACTGTGGTTGTTAATAACTTCTCAGTCTTTGTAACTGACGCGGTTCAGCTTCGCTCTTCAACTGTGTGGAGCCGATTGTGACAGGAGATCGAACCCACTCACCAGAGTTACACCGAACAGACGTTGGAGGACTCACTTTAATCGAGCTGCTGCTCTGAGGTGGGAAAAGTCTCTTGAAGCTTTTTGAAGCCTCCACAGTGACAGTCCATAAAGACGCAGCTGAATATTCTCAATCTGCAGCTTCATCTGCGTCCAGGAGACGACGCGTATCGGATGTGGAGTGTCGTCAGGCAGAGGCCCGGGGCGTCCAGCAGGTAGCTTTTTATGACTCAGACGACTGCCAGGCAGATGGATGACATCAGCCTGGAAACAGTCCCGGGGACAGACACCGATACAGTCACGCCACGTTACCTCAAACGGTGACAGCTGGACGTTGAGTGATGGATGGAGCGAGACACAGCAAATATAAAACCGCTACAGTTTTCCTTGTGCCAGTCACCGATACGCCAACCATGACACCTCGCCTCCCCCCCCCCCCGGACACGTCGTCCTTTATGAGGACGTCTCTGTTGTCCTCGGGCTCTGCTGCGAGAGAACGACCAGTGTGGTAACACCAGTCACAGAGCGTTCAGAAACAGATCACTACCTGAGTTAAGATGTTTGGAAGTCACATGAATGTGTCAGATCTCAGATCGTGGTGGATTAAACACACACACACACACAGACACACACACACACACAGGCTGCTGCGATGTCACATTCTGCTGTGAGATACCAGACGACTCACTGACATCACCACGTGCACACGCCTGCCTCTGAATGTCAGTGCACGTCACTCATCATTTATCCATAAATTGATTTTTATTCACTTTAATGTTCAGAAACAAATAAGTGAACATGTGACCACTGAAATAAACTTGTGGAATATGACGTATCTTGTTTTGGTGAGATCGAACATCCACCTGGTCTCCTTCTCTGTCCAACTTTAAACCAAATCATTTTCAAAACGGATCTTTGATCAAACATTATTCCTTCAGGAGGCTGACAGTCTTTTCATCTTCGTCCTCTTTGGAGCTTCACTTTTCCAAACCTCCCTCTTTTTCCGCTCCGCCCCAGGTTCCTCTGACCTCTGCACCTCCACAGTCACCTCCTCCTTTAAATAGCTCTCACTGCAGAGGCCTGTGTGTGCGTGTGCATGATACACGTGTGAGTTCATAGATGCATTAATAAACATACATGAAATCATACACCACATCCAATAAAAGTATGATTGCAGGGCTCACACAGAGACCCTCTTATCACGCGTGTAAACGTTTGCTGTGCTTCTATATTTACACGCGTGTGCGTCTTGTGAAAATGGGTTTGGTCCGTTTTATAAGGTCATCGTGTGAAGAGTGTGAAGCTCGTCTATAAGTTTCACCTCTGGAAACTTTCTACTGCAGAGTAGACAATCTGCTTCCTGTTTACGGTCACATGTGGCAAAGATAGCGTTTCTTTAATTTATCATCTAAAGTTTCATCTATAATGAGTGTGACGATTCTGAGGTTTAAATAAATAATCACCGACCATGTTGTCATCGCTGTGCGCTCACATGTGCGTTGAAACATTTGTGCTTCCTCCATCGCTGCGTGTTTCTTCATCTCAGACACACAAAGTGCGTAAACCACGTCCCAGCGGCTCCATCCGCAATAACACATCGTCTATTTATAATAAACCATCGGCCGCAGGTGTTTAAATGGGTTTTAGAGGCTGTTAAGTGATCGAGACGCAGGAAACACTTATGTGTGTGTGTGTGTGTGTGTGTGGGGGGGAGCACCTGTCACATAGAGAATATAGAGAATGGACAGGTGTGTGTGTGTATTTAAATATTATATATAATAGATTTATATTTTTCTTTTGAGGACGTATCACCGTCTGTGTTTGTTTCCTAATATTGAAACTTTAGTTTTGCAGAGTAAACAAAGTAGAACAGATCTTATGTCTTATATCTTATATCTTGTTTGTTTCATGATGTTTGTTTTCTTTGTTTTTATATTTATATCCTCCACTCGGGCTTTTTGTCCGTTCACACAAAAACAGCTCCTCTGTTTAGAATACGTAGACGAGCGGCGCTGAACGTGACTTTGTCCCCCGAGGCAGAGAACGACCACCGACCTCAAACAACTTGTTCTATTTGTGGCGACACAACTGATCTCAGTCTGCTGCTGCTTTTTTACTGACACCAGAAGAAAGGATATATCTTCACTTAAAACTCTGACGACATGAAGTCATGTTCCTGTTAATTTAACTTTCCACTTCAGCTGCTACGTGCTCTGTGGTTTCCCAGTTTCACTCTTTGGCTCCCGAAGTAAAAAACTGACGAATATCTGGTTTTGCATGTTTTAGATTAAAAGAAACTTCAAATTACTGCTGATGTTTTTCTAAAAGCCAGAACCCGTCGGAGTGATTTCCTCCTTCCCGACAGTAATTACACCATCAAACCATAACGGCCTTTTAATTTCACAAGTCCTGAGAATCTCTGATGGAGCTCTGAAACTTTTAAAAAACTGAATTAATCGTGGAGAAACTTTTAGTGAGTCAGATAAACTCCGTGCTGTGTTTCTTCTGCTCGTCTCTTTGGAGCTGATGTGAAGGATTCACAGAAGTAGCTTCTCGTCCTGAAGTAGAGATTCTTGCTCAAGGGCACGTCAGCAGCTCAGATTGTTTCAGAGCCGCTCATCGCCTCAACCTGAGTCGAGTCAGACCCGTGTTTGTTTCCCATTTCCCGCTCATGACGAGTGTGGGGCAAATGTAAAGGACCCCCCCCGCCCCTCCCCCACTAACTCCACCGTCCCCCGCTAGTGAGCAAATGAAAGTGTCTCGGGAGACTCACTCCGCAAACATTCACACTCCACATGTGAGTCAGAGCCAGGATGAACTGCAAAGACATGTTTGAAAAGTTTAACGGAGCAATAATAATAAAATAATCGTTTTTTTTACAACTGATTGATTAAATAGATCTTTATTTAAAGTTTGCTAAAATCTAAAACTTTTTTTAAAGGATTTGGAAAATTGGAATTTGAAAATCAGCTCATTGGCATTTGAGAGTCTGTGAAGTTGGTGAATCACTGGAAACTTTAAGGACGACACTAAATCCAACATGTCTCCTGGTGAAGCCATTAAAATCCCTGGTGCCCCAATGTTGCATTTTCAGTTTGTCTCTTGCTTTCTGTGCTTGATGAGCTGTCACATGTCACACGACACTGTCCGCTCGCCGGGTTCAACCTCAACCAGCAGCTGGAAAAAGACTCATCCTGGCAAACGCTTCCCTCGTCATCTCCTCTGCACCAGAACAAGAACAAGGGCCTCAACTGTTCTGCAGAAGGTCGGGGGTCGAAGGACAGAACGAGCTCAGCTGGTGGAAAATGTGGATAATCTGCATCTAAGGCCTCAAACTCAAGAAGCCTGCAGATCTTCAGGGTGGGGGGGGGGGGGGGGGGGGGGGGGGGGGGGGGGGGGGGGGTCATTGAGGGAGCCCCTGGGTGAGGGGATCCCCCCCTGATGATGTCATCAGGCAGAGGTGCTGCACACAGATGGCGTGGGAGTTGTACTTTATGTGGAACGGCAGCAGGGCGGAGGTGGAGGTCGGCGGCGGAGTCCCTCCCCCGGCTGCTGGGAACAGTTGAGGGATCGTCCCAGAGTGCCAGCTCAGCCTCAGCCGTGCGGCCCCGCCTCGCTCCACTGGAGCACATGTTGGGTGACAGGAGGATATGAATCAGAGGGTGAGAGGAGAAGCCCACAGCAGAAAGCTCCGAGGCGACTGAAGGACTCTGGATGTTTTTGAACCGTGGACCACGTGAGGCTTTTTCGATCTCAGTGAAGAAGAGGAGATAGTTCTTCCTCTCTTGACCTGCAGGTAAGGAGGGAGCTTTCACCCGGAGATATTCTTCTCATTTTTAGATTCAGATTCTAAAGATCTGATGCTCGCTCTCCAAAACAAATCTGATCTAAAGAGGAAGCGTTTGTCTCCAGTTTTTACTTCAAATATAAAACAAAGCTTGAGTCATTTCAAGTCAATCTGCGTGTGGTCATTAAAAAACAACCACAGGAGCCGACTTTGTTTCCAGCCTCCTCGCTCGTCCTCTCCGTCCTGTCACCACGGAGCCTGTGAGCTGTTGTTGACAAGCGTTTTGAAATAGCTGCAGCCGAGTGATCCACCATCTGTCCCCGGGGTCACTCAATTTGGAACATCCCTCACATGAGCCGGCCGCCGGCACATACATGAGTCGATTTGCAGAACTATGCTTGTGAATGGGAGGCCAGTGTTTTGAGTGAGCTGGTGCACGTGTGATTCTTGCAGAATCGTGTTTTACAGTTTGAAATGTGGCAGAAACATAACGTCTCAGCTGTGTGAAGAGCACCGCTCCACACGCACACGGTTACGTGGGCCACAAATGAGCGTTTCTAATCTTTGTGCACAAAATAACTTTCGTGCAAAACCTTTTTTTAAAAGCTTACAGACTTTTAAGGAAAGTTTTCCTTCCTCTGAGTCGCAGCCAGGCCAAAGGAATTTAAAGTAAAGCTCTGCCCAGTTTGCTCCACGCACCAAAAATAACACAGATATGCTTGAGTCCTTGTTTTTTAAATCTTTATATACATTTAAGAAAAGCGTTGTGCATCTTCGAAGAAGAAAATCTGTCGTCTCCTGGTTTTCAAACCGACCCTGCTGCTCCTCTCTTTGACTCCAACTCACCAGCTGTTTGGACGTCCTGGTTCACAACAGACCATGTGGGCCTGCGCTGACGCAACGTGACAGAGGCTTCCAGCTATAAATAGAGCCGGAGGGGCTGTGCTGCTGGAGCTGAGGTCACATAAGACGGGTGCAGAGGGGGGTCACTGCGCTTGTGATGTGTGAGGTCCGGTCCCACTTTGTCCCATGTTTTGATGCATCAAAGCAGTTTAATAAAGTTTGTCTCTTTGTCTTTCAGATGTTGTTCACACCCAGGGTCCACTTGATGGAAGCCTTTACGCCCGCGTCCGCAAGAAAGACTCCCTGGAGGGAGTTGTCACCATCAACGGCCTCCCAGTCCTTGAAAACCCTTTGACCAATGCTAAGAACCTGCTGCAGAACGCCAGCCACCCCCTCCAAACCGCCGAACAGACACTTCCTGTAGCAGGCCACGCCTCCCTCCCTGCTGTCGACCACACCCTCTCCGTGAGCAGCGACTCGGGTAACTCCACCGCCTCCATCAAGACCGATCGTACCGATGAGCAGAGCCAGTCGGTGCAGACCGCCGCCAATCACAGCAACCCGCCAGTGACCCACCCGCCCCTCAGCCCGCAGGAGAAGAGGGAGCTCGACCAGCTCCTGAGCGGCCTCGAGGCGCAGACTCACCTGAGGCAAGCCTACCTGTCCACATCCACCAGTCCTGGGGGCGGCGTGCGGCACCTGGTCCCGGCGCAGGTGCACGTCAACGGGGGCCACACCAGACTAGCTGGTGCCCGTACAACAGAGGAGCGAGAGACGGATATTCTCGACGACGAGCTGCCCAACAGCCAAGAGGGCAACAGTGTCGACAGCTTGGGCACGATCTCGTCCCTCGAGGGTCAGGGGACGCCAGCTGACCTTTACTACCAATCACAGACGCCTGTCAGTGGGCAGAACGACGGGCTGTACCTCGAGAGAGGCGTTCTCGGGGAAAAGTTGAGCGAAATGCCCGTGCACGGAGTACGAACTCCCACGGCGATGCAGGAGAGGTCGGTGGACTCTGCATCACCACAGGAGGGGTACAGCAGCTTCCAGAACGGCGGAGGGATGTACCGCTCGCAGTCCTTCGGGAACCCCCCGGCCAGCAGCCCTGAAACCAATCCCACGCTGATGCCCCGGGCCCCAGAGAGGAGCACCAGCAGCCGAGAGGCCGTTCAGAGGGGTCTCAACACCTGGCACCAGTACAGCCTCCCGGACGACCCCTTCGGACCGCCGCTGCAGTCCACCCACAGCCTGCCGCATTTCCCAGCGTCGCAGCGGGACATCGAGCAGTCCATCGAGGCGCTCAACATGCTCATGCTCGACCTGGACCCCATCAACTCCCACATGTCCAAATCTCACAGTGCGCCCCCTGGTGAGAACAGCCTGAATTCATCGCAGGCACCGTTCTCCCAGACGCTGGCCAGACCCTCGTACCAGGCGGACTCGGCAATCCACGGCTACAGCAGCTCGGGCTCGGTCAACAACGCCTTTCATCAGCCGCTCCGCTCGACGGGGAGAGTGTCCAACCAGAGCCCCGTCATGGAGTCTCCTGTGTACTCCCCCCAGAGGCCCAACGCCAGCTTCCAACACCAGAACACCACCCCGACACACACCCCAGAGCCCTACCTCCACCCACGCCCAGCACCACACCACTTCCCCACTGATTTTACCCAGCAGGCTCCGCTGAAGCCTGCGAACTCACACCAGAGCTCCGGGGTTTCCCACTCCCCGGAGCTGCAGGGCTCGTCTCCTTACCAAGGCTACAGCGCCTCGTCTTCCCCCGTCCCGGCTCTCACCCCCCAGCCCAAAGACACGTCCTCTTCATCGCTGGCCAGAGAACAAGACGCAGAGGAGGAGACGCTCAACCTGGAAGGCCTGGTGGCTCACCGCATCGCTGGTAACCAACATGATGCTCAAACAATATGAGTCATACTATAAACCAGCGTGTTACAAGTCAAAACTTTACTTAGCTGTAGATTAGTTTTGTTCAGGTTGAGGTTTATAGACAATAAACATTAATAATACTCAAATGTATGGGTTTTAAGA